TAGATATTTAAACAAAACGACGAAAATTTTTTACCAAGAAAAGAGACTGCTATCTCTCTAAAAAATTCATAAGTTTGTAAAAGGCATTCTTATATACTTTGGCCTGGTCCCGTCTGTTATAATTTTCGTCATGATATAATTTTATCTTCCTGAGTCCTTTCTTTCGCTGAGAGAGTTTGAAATAAGATACAATCGCCACTTTGGCTCGTCTCAGGGAAACTCTCCACCGAAATTCCCCGATCGCACGTACGATCTCGAACTGCAATCTCCTTAAACCTACGGGGAATCCCTTCTAATCCCCGAGTCCATCAATGTCCTCGTCTTACGACAAAGTGGCTTAAAGACGAGGAGTAGATCCCGATATAGGCGAGAGCATTAAAAATCTCAGGAAGTCCGATAAATCCGAAGATGCCGAGGAAGAGGAGAGAGAGAAGAAGCGACGCTTTCTGTTTTTTTTTTATTTCTTTAAACAGAAATTCGCGAGGACCTCGTAAATCAACTCGACAGTGGTGATCGGTACGACTGCAGCTCGCCAGTAGGTACGAGAGATCGTACCTGTGCATGCGGCTGTATCTCTTCTCTTTGGCCAGCCAGAAAAGACCGTGACGTCATTTTACCTTCCAGAAGCGAGAGACACGCCTGATGTAATCCGCGCGTACATACATGTCGAGGCGCGAAAAAAGGAGTAACGAGGAAGCAGCAGAGAAGACTTGCCGCGGTAGGAAGAGGAAGAAGAAAAAGAAGAAAAAGATGATGATGAAGGAGTGAACGCGTTCCCAAATCGACGGCCGTTCATTACGGCGACAGAATGTGTAATTCGTCATGCCTCACGCCTTTTAAATGGCCTCTTCGCATTGCCAGGCGATAAGCTCGCTCTTCGCTCTCTCTTCCTTTCTGCAGACTTGTCTCTTCTCGACGACCTGATTCTCACTGTTTCTACGGTCCATCGATTTTTATCCGTTTACCAAATTCGAAACTTTGACGCACAAATGAAAAAATAAATCAATAATTTATAAAATGCAGTTTAAATAAGAACTGTCTTGAAGTAAGAAAAATATTTTTTTGAATAAAAGAAACTTTATAACAGTTGTAAATGAAAATCGACCGAGAAATGTTTAACACAAAAAAGAAAGTCATATTTGATTAAAACGAGTCTTGAGTTTAATCATATTTTGCGTGAATTTGAAATTAAGATTTACGCAAAAATATAATTAAACAGCAAGATTGGGTTTGATCAAACCTGATTTTACTCGCTTGTTTGTATTTTATAAGTTATATCTTCATATTGCCTTCAGTCCAAGATGTGAACTTTGACATTATCCACTTTACATTTTTCTTATACTTGTAATCCCATTAATTGTAAAAAAATATATAAAGATATATAAAGCATACAATCTCTCTCTCTCTCTTTCTCGCGCTTCTTTCTATTCAAATATATCTAAGTAGTTTATTTTATAACTTTTTAAGTTTTCCTATGTAAAAATGATTTTTAAATTAGAATATTCCTGAAGCGAAAATGTATATAATTCGGATTTTCGTAACTTTTATGAAGATTATAATTATAGACTTTAGCAAAGATGCAAGACATTATTGACACATACCGCGGTGGAACGATCGATGTAATACAATTAGCAAGTGATGTACGCCGCTAATTCAGAATGTGTGACACGCCGTGCACCATTGTAATTGGCAAATTGTGGCATACGTGGCAACACATCGGTCTATAATAATAACCAGAATTTTCGTTCTTGCATAATTTGAATTTACGACGAGGTAGCACTTCCTGTCTGCGCCGATCGAAAGTTTTCTGAAAGTAGACTGTTCGCGACATACCAAAAAGACATGACAAGCCTCTTCCGGTTATCAATGTTATTTTTCTTGAAATTTCTTCATCAATTCCAGTTAGACGATTATGAAACGTACGCCCATGATAGGAAATAAATCATTGGCAAGTCTAGTGTTAACATTTCTTTGTGGAGACATTTTTCTTGGTTAAACTTTGAAACAATAAAGAACGAATCTTCATGAAGAAAGATAAGTAAAAAAAAAAAAGATAAAACTTTTTTACGATTATAAAAGTAAAATACAGCTTGTATCCCCAAATAATGACTCAATAATAAAATAATACTTTATATATATATATATATAATGTGTGTGTGTGTGTATATAAAGTATCTCAAATAAAATTTTGTAATTTTTAATATTAAATAATATTATATAGTAAAAATTCTACTTTAAATTAGTACAATCACAAATATGCCTTTTTCAAATAATTTATTTATTTATGGAGTGTCTTACATATTTATCAGTTTCAATCAGTAAAGCTAATTGAATATGTAAGTAATTATAAGGGGTATGTGTGCACGTGTAAGATGTCAAATTATAATCGTCATGTAAAGCATTTAATTTAAAGTTTCAGTTACGAAGATTGACACCGTCCTATTTCGCAGTCCGCACGCGAATGAATAATTTGCACGATTAATAAGCACGAGATGTGTCGACCACGTTTGTACGTATACCAACACTTTTCTCATATCGAGCGCAGCCATAACGTTTTATTTATTCGTGACATTTCGGTAATTGTGACGCTAAATCGTTCTACATTCTTTGTAACGACGCGATAATAGTACGGTTGCGTGATTTAATTTTATAATTCAAAGTACAAATTTCTGCAATCTTAATTCACAAAGTTGGTATTGTTCGTTTGTCTTTTGCAATCATCGCTTCTTTCACAGAATTGCAATGTAGGTAGAATATTGAATATAAGGCGAATGTGTTCGGAATTTGCAATTGATTTTAAAGCGGAGAATCTAGAATTCCTAATTAAATATTTAATTTAATGTTAATTAAAAGTTTTAATTAAACTTCAAATTCAGCTCTACATTACTTCTAAGTTACGTAAATATTATTTTAAAATTTTACTGCAAATTTATGATCAACTAAATTTATTTTGCAGTTTTGTAACAAATTACGATTAAATGAGGATTAATTAAGCGGGGAATATTTCTGTGCACGATTTGTCAAAATATTTGAAATACAGCGCGTAATCTCGAATTTAGGAAATCATAATCGCCGGCGATTTGCGTGTCGTTTCAAAGTAGCAGAGCTCATCTCGTGTTGTATCATATTGCACGGTGTCGCGCATCGATGCCGGTTGACAAATTGCGAAACAGCGGATTTGCAGGCTTTGTGTAACAGTACGTTGGTAGTGCGGGCGGCATCGTGGGTGTTCGTCCGTCCGTAATTCCTCTCTCGTGTTCGCGATCTTCCCTCTTCCTCTGCATTTGGAAGCGTTCTGTTTCTGGTCGGTGACGCCACGATGTTTCTTTCCTCGTTCTCGTTCTTTTTCTGTCGTTTTTTTTCCTTATTTTCTATCCCATTCGAAGCATATGTAGCGCGGCGGACAATCGCGTTCGAATAGAGAGAATCGAGAATCCGACAAATATACGTCTGCTGTTCTCATCATGCGTTTCTTTTTTTCAACCCTTCCGCTTAAGACGACCCAATTATGGAGAGATGCTTCTTTTTTTTCATCTCTCTAATGGTCGCACACGTAGTTTCAGAGATGCTCGGTATTGCCGTTCCGGTTTACGAATTTAAGTCATTATTTAGCATTTGTGATTTCTGAATAAAGTGGAATATTGGGCGGAGTAATCATATAACTTATTCTCAGAGTCACTGCAGCAATAAGATGCCTTTGTGCAAAGGAAATTTTGCCACCACCATAAATATTTTTATTTAGCAATATTTTTAGTAAAATATTTTTAATATAATTTTTTTTAATATCTTTAAAAAGACAAATTTACAACTTTTCATTTCTGATGCTAAAGTGGTTCGGAGTAAGGCTCTGTTATTGACAACTTTTAAGTGCTGAGAAATAAACAATTATCCGATCCAAATGTTTCTCTAAATTATTATACGATATTTGTTTCAAAAGAAATTAAATCCTATGAAAACGAACACAAATGATGTTAAGAATGAAGAATTAATTTTTTTAAGCTTAATTTGGTGCCATCTCTCTTATTTATATGCCTTTGTACAGTGCACAATTTACTTGTTTGTGGCGGGCTCATTCCGATTCAGAAAATCTGAGTAATTGTTCTCTTATTTAACAAATAAAATTAAAATTTTAATTTTAATTTGTTAAATAAGAGAACAATTGGTATTTAAAGAACTTAGCAAAACAACACTGTATTTTTATCATTATGTTTACTGTTATATATATTAATTATTAAAACAGATATCTTGCGGAAATAAACGTCAATATTTATTTTAAAAAAACTAAATATTATTTTATTAAAATTGTTAGTAACAGTTATCGCGTTTGCAAACAAACGCGGGTCGCGAACTTTAATTAAAACGTAAAACACTTGCTTGTAAAGAAACTAATTACCATTGCAATTGATTTAATTGACAATTGCATATGGATATATGCAAAATATATACATCATAATTGCAATAAAAGTACATAAGGAAAGCAATTTTTGTAAAATAATTAATAAAATAAATTGTTGCAGAAGTTTTATGTATATAAATTCGCATTGTGTAAAAAATGTCTTACACAAAATTAATAAATATCTTGTTAACAAATATCAGATGTTTGAAGGTTCCTAAAAATATCAATTACAGGAAAAGCAAACTTCCTCAAAAAAACGAGTCGATTTTTAGGAAAAGTTGTACGTAACAGTTTACTTAAATCTTCCGATATGGAAATATGAAATGGAACGGGTTTTATGTCAACACTTTCAGCAAATAGTTTCAAGTTCTACACCGTTTAGAATTAGAATCTTTTCTTTTATTTTGCATTGCCAATGTTGGATTTATTCTAACTAAAAGGCTCATCTTTTCGCATTATGTGGTAATACTATTACGTAACTAAATGATAAATATAATGTATAAATAGCATTCACAAATTAAGCAAATTTAGAAAGCTGGAGTTTCCTGGACATCTCACGTAAATGATGAAGGGTCAATAATAAAATCAAATCAATTTTTCTTACTCGGTAGCCCTTCTCTCCGGTGGCTCCATATTCTCCTGCTGCTCCTTTCTCGCCTTTGGGTCCGGGAGGTCCGTCAGGTCCGATATCACCTGGGAGTCCTTCCGTTCCTTGAGGCCCAGGTATCCCAGGAAATCCTGGCTGCCCTTTTATTCCCTTACAATCGCATTTGTACGAGTCTCTGCAGATCTGTAACACATTGTAAATATCATCTATTAGGAGGACTTTTTGTAAAGAGTTCAATACGTAGATGTGTCTCTTTTGTGGGATCGATTTCGATGAGGTTTTAAACCGACTTAAATGCCACTGAATTTCATCGATAAGCGGTTTAACTCGTAAGCCGATCGTGATCAAATCCAAGCAGGATTTATAAAATTTTATTTATCCTGAAAATACTCGAAAAATAAGAAACTCTTAGAAGAAAACTCCCGCGAAGTTTAATATCTCTAATTTCATGCTCAAAAACACTACTTTATTAATGTCGAACGTTGCAGCGATAATTGAGAAATATGTACGTTTTACGCACTAACAGAAAACGTATATTACGTAACTTGATAAATTAAATTTATCTAGAATAGAAATAAAAAATCTGAAAATAGGACGGATCTCGTTGTGAAGGCAGCGATAAAATTGATTAAAAACGGTTTTGTTATATCGTTAAAAAATCCGAATGGAGGCTAGGGAAGAGCACAGAGGAAGAGCACATTGATTGCGACCAGTGGCGTAAGCTTATAAGCGAAATTGACCATAAACTGAGAAAATAATACAATATTAAGGACATTTGTTATATTTTCTTATTTTCTTCGATATAAACATGAACATTATAATTTAATTTTGATTTTGTGGTTTTGATTTACTTTTCGAAATTGATGAATTTCCTTTTTAAATCTTAAACTTTGTAAAGCTATAATGCCTGTTTAATTAATAAAATGATCTCGCTCTTGAACAACAATGCAATTTTGAAAATATATGCAGCTGATTAATTCGTTCATAAAAAAATTATTTTTTAATAAAATAATTAATTGTTTGATAGAGAAATGTTCATGTATTTAATGGATCATATACAAAATAATTTTTTTAGAGTTAGATTATAAAATAATCTAATTAGTTATATATATATGATATATTCATATTGTTTTTAATTTAAAAAATTGTTTAATGTGGAAATTCGAGCAAAATAATAAAAAATGTGATTTTTCAAGTTATTGTCATGAATGAATTAAATAAACATTATCTTATCAATTATCAAAAGTGAACTAACTTAACTTTATAAAGGTCAAAATCGTCATAACTTAAAAAGAATAGTTTCTTTTAGAGTTGTGAGACAAAAATAATATTTGATTATTTTAAGAATATAAAAATAATTAAAAGGCTAATGAGAGTTATATGCGCAGTTATTAGTGCGAAAATAAGAATCGTTTATTATCGAAAAATTATATATAATTAATTACGCATACTTGTTTTTTGCCAATATCACTTGATAAGTCAATAATTTTTTGCTTAGTTGAAAACTAGTTTTTCCTGTTTTGTAAGAAACTTAATCTTGAATTGTGTCATTTCTTAAACAACGAATTGTCAACAAATTAATTAATTAATAGAATAAGTGTACAATCCACGACTACGCCATTGCATCACGAAGGCCGCGCTCTATTTGAATAACGTGGAAGAGAACGAAAACGGAATCGTGCTTCCACACATTTGCCTTGTAGATGAAAGTTCTGCTTGTGTCAACGACGCACTCCGGGACCGAGCAGGCTCTCAAGGAACGCCGTCCGGGCATCATTCCTCGTTATTCTTTTCTCTTGCCCATTTTCTTGCTTATCTTGCTGCACATGCCTCATTTTAGTTCCGCAGCTTATGACGTTTTATACTGTGTCTCCAAATATGATGCACGCAGCAGAAGCAGCGGGTATATTTTTTTATAAGACTCGAGGATTATCGTGTTTGAGGAGTAAAAAGCAATTGAAGAACACAGGCTAAAATAATTCGAGGACTATTTTCTTCAAATTGGAAATAATTTCAATAAAAATAAACATATGAAAGAAACGTAAAAGATTTCAGAAGTAATACAAAAATTCTCTGGATTATAAATCATACGGTTTTCATCGAAAGGGTATTATTTACGATGTAATTTTAATTTATTGAAGAAATTTATATAATGATAAAAATGCTTACAAAGTAACAAATAATAAGAGACTTTGAGAGACTCTTAAGCTTAAAAGCTTTGTCGTATCTCAAGGCTATTTACTTATGCAATGATATAATCGTTGCTGTATAATCTCAATGTCACTATTACGCTACTGCGAAGGACAATGTCGTTTTACTTAAATATCGTAAAAAAGTAGATCTGTAGTCTTACATTGCACAAAAATATGAATGACGAAAGTAATGTCTTCTCCATCGTTGACTAAAAGTTTTCATAAAGTGGAGAAAGTATATTCATTAAACTCATTTCGTTAAATTAAGTATAAAGTAAATTGGGGGAAGTAGGTCAATGTGACATTTACATTTTTGATTATGTATAACTTTCGCGCTGTAATCTGTTTATTTATCTGAGGTAAAAAATACCTTTATTTTGATATAACGCTTTTAAAATTATAATATATTTCAATAATAAAATAATGTGTTAATATTTTGTTTTATTTCATTCAATTATATGTAATTATTTAAAAATATAATCTAAAAATAATTCCTAACAGTTTTATATTCTTTTCTTTTAGCATCTTGATACAGTTAAAAATATTTATATCTTTTTAAGTAACCGCTTGAACTATATTTATCTCCAAATATAAGATATGAGGAGTTAAATAAAAGTCCTAATTTATCGTAATGTAATGCAGCAGCAGTAATCAAATTTTTACGAGTCTTAAAAGATAAATTATCTTTAAGGAATGGCGCACGAAAATGTCAAACATGTCTAAATTCGCGTTGCTACTTGGCGAAGCTGTCCACGTGCAGGTATTACCCCGTAATATCAATATCGCGCCGTTAGCGTAATTCATGCAATTAACTTAAATGCGTGTGACGGCTTATCACAGTTCCTCCTGGCAATCTCGACGAACGCAGGCAAGTTGATTCTGTGTGCCTTCTTCTTCTTCTTCCTCTACCTTCTTTTTTTCATCGTTAAAAAGAGTTTAAGATTTTTTATTTCAGCGAAATAATATAAAAATAATACATAAAAAATACAATAATATACAAAATATTGTTAAGCAAAGCTTTTTTCAGTTTTTCAATTTTTGGACATGCGAAAGCCGACTGTAATGTCTCCCGTGTCTTACTTCGGAATTTTGCTAACATCTGTCATAATTATGATGTCTCGCGAGATGCGTCTTATGCATTCGACCTCGGTGCGTAACGATATCCTACCAAATATGTAACGCAGGCGGCACTCTCCCTGTTTCCACGCATCGACGACATGACGTAATCAGCATCAGCCCGCCGAGGAGGAATCTTGCAGCTACGCCGTGACATAATTCCGCGATTACGCGCGCAAGAGGGCGATCCGCCGGGAATTATGCCTCGTTTGTGCGTCGCGATACAGTCGACTTCGCCGAGAAGGCAGACGTCTCTCACGAGAATGCTCTGATTTTGCGGAATAGATGGTATGCATCTCATTTAAACGTTTTGCACATGTACCTGAGTGGTTGAACGCTATCTCTTACGCGATATAACTGATTGTGAGAAGTAATTGTTATCTTAATACAAGACTCCTTTGACAGAAAATTAAATTCTTTTTTAAAGAAAAATATAAAAAGACTAACATCTTTTTAATGTTCTAAGAAATATGGCTATTTTGATTTAATTTCATATGGTTTAAAACCCATGCTGTTAAATTCATATCTTTCTGGTGTTTATGTCAACAGTAAGAATTATATTTAACAATCGATGGTGTAAGTCCACATTTTAAGTCTCACTATTTTTTAAAGTAAAGTTAATAATTTGAGACCTGTTTTAGTTGGTAATTTACTTTTAAATAAGAAGATTATGATTTTAGGATTTATAATTCTTTTTTGTTATTAGAAGTTGTTAGTAGAAATTTGAGATTAATTGGAGATGATTTAACTCAGATAGCAGAATACAGTAAAATAGAGGTCGTGTAGGGTAACATTTATGTTAGGTCACAGACTAGTGTCAAGTCATAGATTAGGCTAGTGTCAGAATGGTCAAGGTTTTCTTTGATATATTCTTCTTCTTTATCAGAAAAAAAGAACCCTTATATCGAATCACAGTCAATAAATTATTTTCTCTCTTTCGAGAAAATTATCTGTTATCATGGAAGAACACGCTTCTGAAATTTGTCGTACTACTTAAGGATTATGTTACATTGTCTCATTTATAATCAACTCAGGGTCAATAAATCAGAGAAAATTTATGGCTTTTGATGTATAATCTTGTTTAAAATTATATACGCACTTCCGCAGAGAAGTACGAAACCATATGGCACACGGTTTTGTTTAAGAAAACCGACTGGCACATAATCGCCACGTTAAAGATGTAGTGCGGCGAGTAGAAGTACGTGAAGTGTAAGTACACGCAAAGTCTCTCCTTCCTCATGGTTTGACATACACGTGCTCAAAAGAGTTAAGTGCGGCCGCGCTAGCCGTTTTCGTCGAATAGCGGACGTTTACGCGAGTCGACGGTTCCAAATATTTAGACTTGCCTAGAGGTTCGTGAACCCCGATTCCAAATTTACACCATTACGATACACACTCTCCTATTACATCGAAGTTTAATCCCGCGCTCGTGTAAAACGTCTCGCTTGACATTCGAGTATCTTCGCGTTCAAAATTTATTCTAGGAATCGGAAAGTAGTTTCTCTTTGTAAGACTTTTAGTCGTTTTTCTCTGTAAATAAATACATATTCGTAAATACAGATGATAATAATATAAATGTTGTTGTAAAAATTTTACTTCAGTACTTCATATAGGTATCTATGCACGTGTGTATGTATATTAAAAATTAATATGTATAAAAATTTATATGTACAATATTTATATACATATATTAAAATGAGTTATTTTGGATTGTATATCTTCTAAAACATCAATGGATTGACGACAATAGGTAAATTCTTACGGTATATCGCGACCAGGAAGTACTTGTGACGATAAAGCCATTTATTCTCAGGACTACCCAGTACGTGCGTTCCGATGCCATTCTTGATTAGTTGTGGATCGCCAACGCGACGC